GGCGTTGAAAAATGACACTGGAGGGGATCGAATAAGCAACTAAGTAATTTCTGTTCAGAGACGTTCACCTTCGGAAAAGCGTAAGGATGCGTCATCCCCACGTCCACCGTCCCGCAGTGGGTCGCGTCCAGGAAGTCCGAAGAAAGCGATGAAATCTAGAGAAGGCACACCTAAGCGAAGCTTGAAAGAAAAAGAAGGATCACCTTCAAAGAAGTCGATGAGGTGCGCCCGAGATACTTTTGGAGAGTACAGTGGCTTTATCTAGAAGCAACATTTAGGTCCCGAACATCGACTCCTGTGCAGGAATCCGCAAATACACTTTCAACAGCAGAGGAACCCGTCTCAGATTCAAGACGTTCAAGTAAGAATATTAGCAAAATGGAAGTTGATTCAGGTTAGGGAGAGTTATAACTTTTTCATTTAAAGCTTTCGCACAGTCCAAAAAAATATTCAAAAATTTTTTCAGCCACTGCGAAGCGGAAGCCAGAAGGTCTTCCTGTCCCACCTTCGCAGACGGAAGAAAAGAAGATGCGAACATCATCACCAGCTCCTCCCGAGACACCCAAACAGCAGCAGCAGCAGCAGAACCAAACAAAAAGGGAAACGTTCAAGCGTCCACCTATTGTCTTGGAAGCCAGCAGGTCCCAAGTAGGTCTTTTGCCATTTTTCTGCTCACGAAGCAATGACGTGAGATGGGCATCATGCGTGGATTGTCATTCAACGTAAACGATTGCGCTGTAAAGTGTTGACATGCCTTCGTTTCTGAGCCTCAGCATAGCGAATTGCTTGTCGCGACACTAACGCATGGATCGGTCGGCGCTCAAGGGGTAGAACAAGTCGGCGCCTTGCAGTGTAGCATATGTGCTTGCGGAAGTCTCTAAAAGAGAAAAAGGGAGCATTCCTGTTCGGTCAAAATTTAGCTTTGATTTTTGTGTAAAAGCATAAGTTGAAGATAATGGAAGTAACTCGAGTAGCTGACTGCTAGAATCTCACATTCGGAAGAACATCAAAAATAATTTTTAAGATGTTGTACGTTAGCTGATCCTATAGGCCTGCATATGCTTACATTTGAATGGAATTTAATTAACACAATGCTTCCTGTACGCTAGGATTTTCAAAAAAAAAA